GGGACCTATATATACTAGTATATAGGTCCCTGGGTATATTGACAATATTGTTATATTCCAGAAGCAAGAAAGCCTCTTTAGTTTCGATTACCGGTATGTTACAGAATGAATACAGGAATGTAATATTTTTCCATCAATTAATATAGGTGAAATTTTATTGATTTCATGGGCTTTTGAGTATGACGAAAAAAATCGCAGGCACATGACCATGGATTCTCTAGACCCCCACCCCCCTTTACAGTTGATAAAAAATACAAAAAAAAAATATTGTCAACAAAGAGGGAAACCCACTTCGAGGGAGATTTTTAAAGTAAAAACAGTATTAACCAAGAAGCACATCAGGGAGACGATTTACAAGCCTCTTCTGTTCTTACCCAGTTGTCCTAAATTCAGGATTTTTTCCCCCTCCCATATGCGTGCATTCAAATGTCAGAGGAAGTTGTATCTCAAAACCACAATTACCAATTTTTGGCCATTTATAATAATAATCATAGCACTCCCCAGCTTAATTGTTAAAAAATATATATCTACTATACTATAAACATGTTTATAGTATAGTAGATATATATTTTTAGCTCACCTGAGCTGAAAGCTCAAGTGAGCTTTTCTGATCACATTTTGTCCGGCGTCCGACTGTCTGTCTGTCCGTCTGTCTGTCTGTCTGTAAACTTTTCACATTTTCGACTTCTTCTCAAGAACCACAGGGCCAATTTCAACCAAACTTGCCACAAAGTATCCTTGGGTAAAGGGGATTCAAGTTTGTTCAAATGAAGGGCCACGCCCTCTTTCAAGGGGAGATAATTAGGAATTAGTGAAAAAATAATGGCATCATTTAAAAATCCATAGGGCCAGGAAAGATGAAACTCATGTGGAAGCATCCTCAGGTAATGTAGATTCAAGTTTATTCATATCATGACCTCCGGGGGTAGGGTGGGGCCACAATGGAGGATCAAAGTTTTACATAGAAATATATAGGAAAAATCTTCTTCTCAAGAACAGCAAAGCCATGATGAGTCATATTTATATGGAAGCATCCTCAGGTAGTGTAGATTCAAGTTTGTTCAAACCATGACCCCCGGGGGTAGGGCGGGGCCACAATGGGGGATCAAAGTTGTACATAGAAATTTATAGGAAAAATCTTTTTCTCAGGAACAGCAAAGCCCGGATTGTTTATATTTATATGGGAGCATCCACAGGTAGTGTAGATTTAAATTTATTCAAATCATGACCCCCGTGGGTAGGGTGGGGCCACAATGGAGGATCAAAGTTTTACATAGAAATGTATAGGAAAAATCTTTAAAAATCTTCTTCTCAGGAACAGCAAAGCCCTGATTGATCATATTTATGTGGAAGCATCCTCAGGTAGTGTAGATTCTATTTTGTTCAAATCATGACCCCTGTGGGTAGGATGGGGCCACAATGGAGGATCAAAGTCTTAAATAGAAATTTATAGGAAAATATCTTCTTCTGAAGAACTGCAAACCATGACGAGTCATTTTGATATGGAAGCATCCTCAGGTAGTGTAAATTCAATTTTGTTCAAATGATGACCCCCAGGGGTTGGGTGGGGCCCATTGGGGGATCGAAAGTTTAACATAAGAACATATAGAAAAAATATGTCTTCTCAAGAACAGGAAAGCTATGTTTAGTCATATTGATATGGAAGCATCCTCAGGTAGTGTAGATTTAAGTTTAAATGATGACCCCTGGGATAGGGAGGAGCCACCATGGGGGATAAAATTTTTACAAAGGAATATATGGGAAAATTTTTTTTAAATCTTCTCAGACAAGTACAACAAAGCCATTTGTTATATTGACATGGAAGCATCATCAGGTAGTTTAAAATTCAAGTCCCCCCCCCCCCCTCCCCGGGCAATCTTTTCAATACTGAACTGCTTTGTGCTTTTGCCTAGCCAATGTGCTTAGGTGAGCGATGTGGCCCATGGGCCTCTTGTTTAACAATTAAGCTTGGGAGTGCCTATGATAATAATCCACTTCTCTGTAAGAGAGTTGAATGGCAATGGAATACCCTTTTTTGGCTAAAATTGCAAGTTTCCTGAAATCAGTTAAAAATATACAAATTACATGCTGCTTATCCTTTGGTAAAAATTCATTTTGATCTATTTATAATAGTAATATTTACATGTACAATGGGATTAAAAGGTTTATATTTCATCAGCTTTCTTTTGGAAAAAAAAGGATAAGCAGAATTTAATACTAGTTTCCTAACATCCTATCAGTACCTGACAAAGGAAGAGTAAATTATATGACATACAGATTTGAAAATAGATTGAATGTCTCATTCAGTGTCTCTGTTCATCTCGATAATGGATGTCTGTTCATCTCTATACAGTGTATTTATTATTTAATCTCTGTTAAAAGATGTCTGTTCATCTCTATACAGTGTATTTATTATTTAATCTCTGTTAACAGATGTCTGTTCATCTCTTTATAGTGTATTTATTATTTAATCTCTGTTACAGATGAGATTGGAGGATGTCTGTTTGCTTTTGGTCATGGTTGTCATTGTCACAGAAATTGTGGAGAGCAGGAAACAGTACGAGTTTAAACAGTATACATACAGGAAAAAGAGAGATGTATGTCATTTATACTTAAAGGTGCAGTCAGGGATTTTCCACTGCTCCCATGTAGGGCTGAATTTAGGCCCCTCCCCAACTGCAAATACCCTCTCCCCCCCCCCCCCCCAAAATGTGTATTCAGTATATAATTAAATAAACAAGATCAAAATATGTATTAAACAAGCATGGCAGGGGCCAGGAATCAACAGAATGAAATAAAATAGAAGTCTGATTCTGGTGATGATTTGTTTATTGACATATGCTCACATTGATACTAAAACTGAATAATTAAATAAAAGATCAAACTTATTCATCATTCAATTTCATTTCTGGAGAATTGTTTGATATAATTTCCCAATTAGTGATAAATGACATTATCTTCCCAATTGAGTGGAAAATCTCATTTGATTTACTGAAACAGGAGAATAAGAATTAGAAAGTACCTGCCAAGGAGCGATCCACAACTTCAAAACAAACATATAACTGATAGCCTTGCTGTCTTTTTACCTGAAATCATTTGATAAAGCTTGGAAACTTTCAGCAGCAAGCTACTGGAGTTGATAAAATAATCAAATCCATTTAAATGGAGTTGTTTACATTATCTTTCATTTCTTTGATCTCTTTCCTTATATTCCAGTAATTTTTTCAGCTCATTTGAGCTGAAGGCTCAAGGTGGGCTAAAAAAATTTAAATGAATGCATCCTCAAGTAGTGTAGATTCAGCTTTGTGCAGATCATGACTCCCTGGGGTAGGGTGCGGCCACAATGGGTGATCAAAATTTTACATAGAAATAAATAGGAAAAATCTTTAAAAATCTTCTTCTCAAGAACAGCAAAGTCATGATTAGTCCAATTCATATGAATGCATCAGAAGATATTGTAGATTCAAATTTGTTCAAATTATGACCCCCAGGGGTAGGGTGTGACCACAATGGGCAGTGAAAAAAAAAATCTTCTAAAGAACAGCAAAGCCAAGACTAGTCACCTTTACATCAAAGCATCCTCAAGTAGTGTAGATTCAAGTTTGTTCAAATCATAACCCACAGGGCCTGGCTTGGGCCACAATATATACATAGGATTATATGAGAGGAGGGTAAAATCTGCTGCTGAAGAAAATCAGGGCCATACTGATTTAGGGAGAATTGTGGTCCATGGGGCTCTTGTAAAATTTGTCTCTCTTAACTTTCTTGCAAGCTCAGAGCAATCCACTTATTTCCTCCAGTCCCCTCCCTTGATCAAGTCCCCTCCCTTGATCAAGTGTTCACCTATTTCTTCCAGTCCCCTCCCTTGATCATGCATTCACTTTTCATTAGCTGTAGTTACAGGACCCATCTTTGGACAATTCTTTTTTTTTTGGGGGGGGGGGGTATAAAATTTAATTAGTTACTTTTTTGCATTATTCTGCTGAGTGAAGGGGAAAAAAACTTAGTTAACTTGTGAAGACAATAAAGCAGGTGTCTTATAAATTAAAAGATCCAAAAGTTTTTAAGTCTGGAAAATTGATTTTGTTTCCAAGTTTTAACTCTAAACAAAAAGATTACAAAAATTGTTATGCACTTTACTGAAATCAGATGCTTTCTCTATAGGACAGGAAGTACAAGAATGCTAAGGCTTTGTGTGAAACACGGCCAGAATGCTTGTCCAAGTTTGGAGCAGAGCAGACAGCCTGTGTAAGAAACTGTACCTCCAGTTTCTGTTATAAGCAGATCTATGCAGACGACCCAGTATGTATATATAAGAGAAAGATAAAAGATATATTTTGTACATCTTTATTCAGAATCACATCTGAACAAACAATAGCACTATAAATGAGTATTCATGTGATTTTAGTAACTTAAACAAAAAATTAAATAATCCTTAGTTAATAATATTGCATGTTTAAAAGCATCTTGTTGTATCTATGTTATGTATGGTGATGTTAGAGGTGGGTACCTGTTGTACTCCAGTGACTGAAGTGAGCACAATTTTATTTTAGCTGGAAGATGGTGAGATAGATGTGAGATTGAACTCATTTAAGGGATGTCTGTCCCAGGACAAGAATAACGAACACAAAGAAAAGCTCCCTGGAGAGGGTAATCTGGATCTAGGCATCGGATAGACAATTCACTTTCATCTTTGTCTAATAACATCAGACTAGTCTGAATAATTCTGTGAACAATTGTGTCACTTTATTGTCCTAACAAAGGGTGAATGTTTGAGTACTAAAACAATTTCAAGTCACTGTATTAAGGAGGCTTGGGGATCAACAAATTAACCATCAGATATAACTTATTTTTTTAGATATGATATCTTAAGCTGTCAACTATCATTTGGCAAACAAAAATTTCATACATTTTAGTTTTAAAATTTGATAATTTTTGTATATCTTTATATGGAGCTCTTCTTCTAAAGGAGATCAATATAGTCTGAAAATGGCCACAACCACCCAGCCCTCTTAAAATATGCACAAAATAAAGGATTATTGTAGCATTACACTATACCTCTTGTACTGCAGTATAATAACTATTTACTTTCATATTAATAGGAACATCCTGTACATGATTTTTTTTCATTCCAATTTCATAATTTTCATTATTAGATTCACGAGGAATAAAAGAAAATTTCAAATAAAATCTTAATGTTTGAACAATACTTAACATTCAGAGCTGAACAGCTAGTACGTGTATATGTTGTGGATGTGCTCAATTTGCATATTGTCAAATATGTATGTTTTTCTCCAAGATATTGTGTATTGATGTTATCATGAGATTTGTTTAAGTAATGTAATATGAAAAGAATGGAGATGGGGTAGGAAGAAGAATTGATTTGATCTCAATAAATTAATGAAAAATAAAATTTGATTGTGAATTCTAAATATGAAGTGTTTCTTACTCAGAAAATATCAGTGCCCTGCTTAAGGAAAGCAGTTTATTTGTGATGTCAAGAAAATTTTGTAGCAATATACTAATTTGTGATATGACCTTTGGTTCTTTCACCTCAGAATCAATAAGTTGCAGACTTGAATCCAGTTTATGCCATACATGAACCCATGACCTTGATCTTTTACTATTGGCCACAAAATCAGTAGGGGTCTTTCTTACATTAGAAAGAGTCATAATCTTAAGTTTTATTGCAAAATCTCAAAAAGAGCTAACAGTTAATATCTGAAAGTCATTTTATGCAATATATATTTCTGACCTTGACCTTTGCCCTCAAAATCAATAGGGGTCTTCTTTAAGTCATAGGGATTTATATTTCATTGCAAAAGCTAAAGGATTTTAAGATATATTCTTCAGAAACATAAGAGTTACAGACAGAAGGAAGGAAAGACCCAAATTAATACTGCCCACTTTAAGTGAGGGATAAAAATTTGATGAATGTTACATGTACTCTAAGCATTTTGAATGTAACAAACTAGGTACACTTATATTAATTATGCAAAGCCTTTGACTACACTATATCTTTGATACAAAGACAAAATGTGAAATATACAAAAATTGTCGAATTATAGAAAACATTCTAATTTTGCATCCCTAACCAAAAATCTACTTAATATCCTTGTCCCAAGCATAGCACACAGAATCACTAAAAACAAAGACTCCTTTAGAACAAGTTTATCAGCAGTACCTAACAGAAATATGTTTTATATACATGTACTTGAATGATTTTTTCATACGACAGGCCTAATTTAAATTTTTCCAAGATGTAAACAACTTTTCTATTATTTTCATTTTTTATGGGAATTATGTAAAGAACTCTTGCTATATGCATGAGACTTTTTTAACACAGTTGAATTCATGTAAAGACAATGATAAATGTATATGATTTATATCTTAATGCTACAATAGCTATTTGGTAAAAGAGGCTGGCTGATATTATGGTCTGTACCCTGCATTAATCACACATTACCATGATTTCAAACTGTATTAATATTATACATCCACACAAAATCTAAATATAATACTTGTACATTCAATCTCATAATCTACTACTGTAACAACAATTTAATAAAGCAAGTCAATAGATCATAATCCTTAGGCACATTTAAAGAAAGACAAAAAAGCACCATTTTACCATGCACTACAACCTACATAAAAAATATGACAATGGCAACATATCTGAAGTTTAAAAGTCATTTAGCATTCACAATGGAATATAATTAAAGCTTGACATATCCAAGTTAAGGAATGTTATTGACCTGAGCTAAGTTGTCCGGCAGTCTATGAAGGTTAAGATTATGTTATTGGCCAGACCAAAGATGTTCGGTGGTCTATGAAGGTTAAGGCTAGTACAGTACTCTGTAATTAGGGTGTGGTTACTGAGTATTGACAAGCCTCCTAAGTAATGATATGCTGATCATCAGACTCTGGTCAGTGGAGAAGACTTGTGTACTCTGTCGGGCTGCCTGATTTACTTCTGAAAGAAAATAAAATCCATCAGCATTTACTGCTAACAATTCAAAATTTAGAAATAGGAATTATTGTTGTTAACAATCTATCCATTTTCTGTAAAATGATAATACCTTTTTCATGTGATCAAGAAAATGCACCAAGAATCAGTGTCTATTGAAATGTTAATTCAGATGCAACAGTTTGTTACAAACTAGAACTTCCTTAATGGAACAAATATGCTGTTGATTAAAGGTTGTAAAACTTCTTGATTTGAGCAACTTCTTTGTGACAAGTATGAAAGTGACCTTGACAGGTTTAGTGTTAAAAAGCCATGGTCATAAGAACATTGAATTTCTGAACCACGTTACAATAAACAATGTGAAACCAAAAATGGCTAAGAATCAAGACAGGCATCTTGATCATAAGTCATTGTTGTGCCACATATGACCTTCAACATAAAGTTATGACTAATAATTTATCATCTGGAAGACTTTCAGAATATAACACACTAAATTATCTGACCTTGACTTTTCCTAAATGACTTTTGTTTAGAGTCATGACATATTCTATGATCATTATAAATCCTGAGGGTAGGTATGATCTAAACTTGTTACATTAGAAAACCTTGACCTTGCCATCTCAACTTCTCAGGCATCCTTTGTGCCTAGTATAACCACCTGATATTACTCAGCTTCAAAGTTATGGCCTAGGCAAGATTTTTTGAACTGAAGCTTGTGACCTTGTACCAATTGCTCTCGGTCAGGGTCAGGACAAGCAACCTTAGTCTCAGGTATAATCTTTTAATGTTTCTACATTTTGTAGTTGTAGCTAGATTAATAATTTAATTTTGTTCTGCAGCCTAAACCTTATCCAAATAACCTTGGTACAGAGCTATCACAAATATCTGGTCATGAGCTTTCATGAGTTTCTGTCCAGACAAAAAACTTTTCCTATTTCTGCCATCTCAGAAATTGTGCTGTGAAAACTTACAAGAATTCTTTAGGTGTTGTTATTAAATCCCCATGTTGCTTTGGCAACAAAATGATGTCTATCCCCTTTCTCCAACTATATCACAGAAAATAACCCTAATGATAAAAAATTGTTTCGGTATCAATTTTACTGACTTTTTACAACAGAAACAGCAAAGCAGAGACAATACACCACAGGAGCATGTTCGATCCTCCCCTCTGTACAGCTCGGAGTCTGGTGAATCCTCACACTCATCAATAAACTCAAACAACTCACTCTTAGGGAAGCCCTGCTCATAGTACTCCTATAAAAATGTCAAACAGTTCATTCTTTGAGGATTAGAAAATAAACAGTACTACTATAAAAATATCAAACTGTTCACTCTTCAAGATTACAAAATAATCTTTTTTTCTTTTTTAGAATTCTTGGTCAACTTTTTTTAGCAATTCCCTTACCTTGATGGTTTCATATGTGTCGAGGATAACAGCAATAAAGAGATTCAGGACAGCATAAATAAACAGTGACACAAATAAATACAGGTATATCCTACTGTAGTACCACACTAAGGTGTCCTCTGTCACAGTCGCAGAAAATGTCACAAACATATCATCACCATTCACCAATGAAAACAGACACTCAGAGGTTGTACTTAAGTGCCGGAACTGTAAATAAACATAGTATCAACATGATCAAAATATAAGTACCGGTAAAAAAGTATTATTTTAATGAGAAAGAAGTCTAACAACATCTTGCAAACCCAGTCAATATCAACTGTATTGGTAATAAAAGATTCAAAATTGGTCCTAAATTGCTGCCTTCACTTACTTTGATGTGATAAGGTCCCAGCACGGCCCAGCCACAAAACATAAATCCAAGATACAGCATCATTGTAGTTACCAGAAACCTCATCATGTCCGGGAAAGCTTTCTTTAACACCACAGTCAGAATCTGTTCTCAGAAGACACAAAATAATGCAGTGAAAAACAACACACATAAATAAGTATTGATATCAAACACTTTCAAACACTGGCATGCTTTAGATACTTTGAAATGCTGATTCATAAGTTTTAATTCTTTCCAAGAGACATTAATAATTCGAGGCTCATAATTTCCAGAAGTTCTTTTCAGTAGGATTGATCATCAAACAATGTAGTCAAATCAAAGCTGGCCAGTAGCATTAGTTCAAAATAATCATAGTTAAGACTAATTGATTACATGCAACCATGTTTTATATTGTTAAAGTCAATACAATTATCAAAAAGAAAATATACTTACATTAAAAGTTTTGAAGAAGCCTATGTATCTAATTACTCCCATCCACACCAGCAAACTTCCAGTTCCAAGCATTAGTGCACAAAGGTCATAGTTTTCTGATGAACTCTGGGCATGCTGAAAAGTGGTACAGCAACATGTAAACTAAACTGACAGGGCAGCAGTTACAGCCCTTGTATGAATTTTGCTTAATTTTTGTAGGCATACTATTTACTTTCCATGCTAGTAAAATACACCGTACCTCTTAGAAAAATGAAGTTTTCATTATAGTCACCAAGTGTGAATTACATCTGCTGGTGAAATTGTAATTAAATCACAAACTGCTCTTAGTGAATGAAAACAACTACTTGCCTGATTTAGATTCTGTTTCTCTTTTTTTTTTTTTGGGGGGGGGGGGTTAAATAGACTTAGCTTGTTATAGTTGATCCTATTTATTTAACATTTATACACTAAAATAAAAGACTTCCTTTTTATATTGAAAATATTGAATATGGATTCATATAAGAATAAATATAATGATTTTCAGGTGACTGGAAATACATGTATTTCATCAAACCTTAATGAAAATAGTGCAGCAATGTGAATTTCTTTTTAAAAGCATTTCTCTTATGGGGAATGAACTAATCATTGAATCATTGTTTTTTATTTTGTCGGGTAGAGGAGGGGAATGTATACATGTAATTGTTTTGCTTGGGGAAATAAAAACATAAAGGAATGCAGACTAGGCTCTGTGTTAAGCTGTCCTAAAGGATTTGTTTGAATTAGTGAGTATCATTTAAAGGAGAGAGGATATGGGAAGTAGAGGGGGTGATTAAACAGCTGTGGGGAGAAGGAGCATTTTTGAGAATTACCGTCTTTGGGTCATAATCTATTGGCAGGTCATCAAAATTTGGGGCAAGGTCCTTTGATTCAAAAACAAGTATTTTAGATAATTTTAAACAAGGAATTTATACAGACACTTATGAGTAATAAGCTAGGTTATGCTACCTACCCTCCTCTCTAGCTGAATTTTGAAGGAAGATCCAACCACTGTCAGAATGTCGTTAATCACAATCAAAACATACCAAAGGTTAACAAACTCAAACTTGTCGTAGAAACTCAGATCCTTCCTGTAGCGGGTCTTAAAGAACTGCACTGTTTCCTGTAATCATAACAAAAATTATCACTAGAAAATGAAAACAACTTAACATGCATACATAGTTGTGCTTTTGTTCTCCACGATTTCTCTTTATTGTTACTAGAGCTTCTGATATACTGTACATGTAATGTGAAAAACACTGTTACATGTGAAAAACAATTTACATGTGAAAAACAGTTTTATATATGAAAAACACTGTTATATGTGAAAAACACTGCACATGTGATAAACTAGAGCTGTCCTACCAGGCCTGATACCCTCCGTAGAAGCACAAATAAAAAGATACTTCTTCTTAAGCATCCCCAGAAGCACCAATTCCAGTATACCCCCCCCCCCCCTCCAAATCAATATGGGGGTCAAAAAAACTAATTATTTATAATAACTTTCATACAGATGTCATTAAATTCAAAATTGAGCCCTTTGACTCACCACTCTGAGTTTGTGAGTTCTGTACAGAGACCTTATACAGAGGAACGAGGAGAAAACACTGACAAGGATGACGAAAATATCAAACAACATCTGTCCCAGCTTATCAGCCTGGTCATCAGCTGTATAACAGAGGAGAACATTATCAAACAACAGCTGAATAAGAAACGGAGGAGGGCATCAATACACGGAAACAGTCTTATCTTCTAAAGACAAGATAATGATATTATTTATAACTGTCAAACTGTCTGAAAGTTAAAAAATTCAATAGACAGTCTGCCAATTAAAAAATGCGAGTAAGTATTCAGACATTCTTACACATATTTTTAAATTTTCCACTGCACTTAAATTCATCCAGTGAAGAGAAAAGATCAACAACCATCTGTCCATCCTTATTACTGTCATCAAACACAATCTGTTAATAAATGTTTAGACTGTTGTCAAACACAATATGTCAATAAATGTTTAGACTGTCATCAAACACAATCTGTCAATAAATGTTTAGAGTTAGACATATTTTTTTATAAACTTTTATAAAGTGAAATATGGAGATAACAAACAGTACAATGAACAGTATACCGTGGAGCCTTGTTAATTTAGACACCAATATTCCAGATGCTTCATCCTTTGGGAACAGAATTAACATTTATATCTATCAAATATAAGGAACATAAGAGTCCAGATTAACAAGGCTTGACTGTACTCTTGATAAAAATGGAATCGTTAATCATTCAATGATATTTTTCCAGTATATGCATCATACTTTTGAATAAAACAAAGAGAAATAAAATTCAAATATTTTCTTGGATTTAAATGGATGTTTCAGTTATCTGGACGATTTGACAAGCACCAAGAATAGGGAGGCTTGACTGTATACACGTTGCACAAATTCTAAGAAAGGAAGATCAATATCTACTGAAATGTTTTCTCAACTGACTTGATTACATCCCTTTCAAACTTGAAAGTGCAATATTATTCCGCAATAAATCATGAACTTCATCGAAAAATTATCAGATCAGAAAAACATATAAAACTTGTAAAGAAGAATTTTTAAATGTGACTTTAGAATGTAATACATATTAAGACTATATCATTGTGACGTCTTCTGCAAATCTACATGTTGTGTATTGCCTAAAATACATGTAGCTTACAAAATGTCTATTTTTATAGCTAAAGGGGCTGTATGTTCCACAGACCTCCCTATACACTTACATTCCCTGAAGTTACTGTTAAAGCAATTAAATCGACAACAGATTTTGCTATTTATAATTCATAAAATGAATTAATACATGTTGCAAGCAAAATCATAAATTATTAAAGGATATTTGTTATCCAGTGAACGCTCTAATTGTCTGCAATTCTTGGCAATCAATACACAAGTAAACAAAGAAGTTGACCCTTTGGTGTTAACGGAACAGCCAAATCACAACATGGTGACCTAATTTGTTTTTTCTATAGAGGAAACAATCAGCCATATTTTAGAGCTGTAAGTAGAATAGAAATAAAGTCCTTGTTGTCTTGGATGATGCAGGATAACCTCCTTGGTCGCCAAATGTTGTTTGAAATATAAAAGCCTCAGCTTTTCTATTTCAAAAAAACATTTCTCGACTGAGGAGGTTATCCTGCAACATCCATAAAAATGCAAACCTTATTTCTTATATATATCAGTAAAAGTTGCCCTTACCCTGCCATTGATTTTGAAACATTCCGGTTCATGACTCTTCCTCTCCAGAGCTAGTCGAATGGACCTCAGGCGGAACTTAAGAGTGATTAAAAGAATTCTGAAATTGTACAATTTAATCATTCATTAAAGTGACAGAATTCAAGATTCAGCTTAAGTAGAAAGGAGAGTTTTTAAGTATGTGGACAAATGATTGTTCAACTATTGTATTATATTCATCAGTACAAGTAGTTGAGAGGAGGGGGGCATGGCTAAACTACTTTATGTATATTATATAATGGTTTTATCAAAAATCTTAATTTTAATATTCATGCCATATCATGAACATTCTATGAACAAAGTTTCAAGCAAACTAGTGGCAAACTTCAATATCTTAATTGAACCTTAAACACCTTGAAGGTTTTTTGTAAGTCTGACGAATGTTTGATGCTTAAAGAATTTCAAACGTAAATCAACTACCTATCAAAATACAAGGTTCTGTTCTGTTTTTTCAGAATGGCAAGAAGATCATATTGAAGTTCTGTACTGTTTGTTGCTTCATTATATACAGGTACTGGCTGAAGATCAAAACAAACTACAAAAGAAATCAAGAAATAACAAATATTAGTGACTGGACAGTAGGTTGTAACATTCACAGTCATCTAAATGATGTTTCATGTGTGCAATATGTGATGATGCGATAGAACAGAAGCCTCAAAATTGAACCTTTATGAGAGAAACAAACTGATGAAAAAAAATGTATTTTAAGATCCCGTTCTTCAGGCTCTTACATGTCACAAAGCCTTGTTACTTTAAAGAAACAAGCTAATTCAGGGAATGTGTGTCCCTCACTTAAGGAAAAGGGTGGAAGACTTGAAAAAAATGCAGAAAGAGAAAGAAAAAGGTCAACCTTGCCCTTTTAGCTTTTGGCCTTAAAAAAGAAATTCATGACCTTAAGTTTCTTTCCAAAGAGAGAGAACTGAAAACATCATCTGAAAATTATGTATGCAATATATGAATGTTTGACCTTGGTCTTTGACCTTTTGATCTCAAACTCAATTTTTTTTTTCAAATCTTATTGACTAAAGGAATAAAACTTCATTGCAAAACCTCAAGTAGAAATAAAGTTATCACCTGGAAACCATTTTATGTAAGATATAAACTTTTGACCTAGACCTTTTGACTAAAACTCAGTAAAGTTCTTTAAATCATTGGGACTTATAATACATGTAATAAAAGATTTCATGAAAAAGCTCAAGGAAAACTAAGTTATCAACTGGAAACCATTTTTTGCAATGTATGAATTTCTGACCTTGACCTTAAAATCAGTAGGGTTCTCGTTTACATCATTTGATTTTACTGAAAAAGCTGTGAAAAAATTTGTCCTCTGGAAAAAAAAAATTATTTTGCAATATATGAATTTCTGACCTTAACCTTTGACCTTCTGACCTCAAAATCACAAAGGGTCTTTTTTAAGACATTGAGAGTTATATGAAAATTCATTGAAAAAGCTCAAAGAAAACTTAATTTATCATCTTGAATCCATTTCTAAATGTATGGTTTCCTGACCTGAACCTTTTATCTTTTGACCTCAAAATCAATGGAGTTTTTCTTTAGGCCATAGGGAGTTGTAATATAAAATAAATTTCATTGTAAAAGCTCAAACACTTTGAAATATTGTCCAGTAACAGAAGTGTTACACAGACAGAATGACAGATAGACAGATGGGACAGACAGACCCAAATTAATATCCCCCACTTGCAGTGTAAGAGAGGGACAAAAAAAAAAACAAGAAAGAATTCTAAGATTACAATTTGAAAGCTCACATTAATGAATGGTTATCTATAAGTGAAAGCAAAGTCTTGCACCAAATGAATGGGCTTAAAGTTACTTTAGAATAGACTTGCTTTTAAAGTTCTAAAATACGAAAGTTACTTTTGAATAGACTTAATGTTAAAACTTTAACTGGGACATCCACACTGATGCCAGGGGCATAGCAAAGGCTCCTATAAACTTCACTGAGGGAAGGTAAAAACCATTCACTATAAATATCTTATTTCGTCTCACATATTTAAAAGCAAGAAATTTTCCAAGAAGACCAAAGATTGTTAAAAACAATTGTCGATATAATGTACCTGTACATTGTATATAAAGAATACCTGTGGTGACCTTGGGATCAAATACATAGGTGTCATTGTCATACACCTTTCCCTCCCTGTACTCCTCCACACACATGCTGAGGTATTTTGTTCTGTTGGCAAATCTAAGTGATCCAAGGGTCAATTCCTCAGTACGGTTGAACTGTAAATTAGGACAGACATATTTGAGATTTTAATTTTGATAGCAAAATGTGCATGCATACTCCCTAGTTAACTTTTACGGATCACGATTGAGTGTTAATTTATATATTACATCAGAACACAAGTTACAATTTTATAGAAGTCTTTAAAAGTTACTGTATGTGTACTTAAAAAAGCAGGCTTCATATTTTAGCGGCTTTAGCGCAGACAACGATGCGCTAATTCATGAATACAGCTAATAAATCATTTATAAGTACAATATACAGCAGGGACATATATAGCACAAATTCATGATTTCGCCAACAATTCCACTCCCAGTAATTGCGCTAAATTTTAAATACGCCAATTCATGTACACATACAGTATCCATTTCAAAATATGGTAATTGTTCTGACAAAAATTTAATCTTGAAATATCCAAATATTACCTGTTTCATAGCAAAATTGATATGATCTATAAGGTCGTTTGCTTTGTAGATGGCATATTTTCCTGTGGCTGGGGGGTAAGGCATCGTCTCAAAGCTGGGATCCCATTTAAGCAGGTACATGTGTTTCATGGCAATATTGTTCAACTCCACATACTCAACAAATAAGGCTCTCTCATACCCAAACATTATCAGCTGTAAAACAACATTTTCTTGTAAATTCCTTTGAAGTATGTTTTGTTTCAATGTAAGTTAATTTTCATTTTGTATTCAAAATACAGGTTTCTTTACAATCTAAAAAAAAAGAAAGATTTCAAAAGCAAACAGGTTGGGATAACACCACTGAAGTTGCTTATTATTATGCATTTAGATGTGGCGTGTGTTAATATAATATTTATCAGCAGTTTAACTAATTTAATTTTTTTAGTATGCCTAGCCTCTCAAATAGTCACAAATCCTACACTGATCAAATTTCCTTGAATGTACTTTGATAAAAATATTTCCTACCTGAGCTGTTACAAGAAAAACTTTAAAAATCTGTAGAACAAGTTTCCAGGGACACTTTCTTTTAGCTTTAAATTTTTCATGTGGTCCCATGAAATGAAATTTCAGTTTCCTTCTCAAGCGATCCTCCATATATGGAGTATAAAATGATGCCACTCTCTTCAAAGATTTCTTTGGTGTAGGGCCTTCTGTTGTCTGCCCAGCAGTATTGTCAATGTCATTTGGGAGAGTGTTGGTGCTCGCCATATGAGTTAGCTCTAAATTATAGTGTAATCCGCAAAATTACATGCTCTGATCAATTCAGTCTGTAGTTAAAACAATTGTCAATATATATCATTGAATAAAATTATCATTACCTGTAGGAGGTGCAAGAAATTTAACAAAAAAGGTGTTTGCTGTTATCTTGTCAGACTGAAACTTGATTTTGTTCAAAAGTTAAGATAAACGTGTGTATATTCAATTGTTACCGTTTATTCTTCCAGTTGGCCGATGTAAATTAATGGTTTGTAGACCAGTACGTGATTGATGCCCGTTTCTGCGATCTGACACCTTGGAATTATCTTCCTTGGATTCTAATTCCTTGTTGTTGTCTGCCATTCAATCATTTTCATGGTCATCGAAATGAAAGTCAGCTGACATTGCCATAGGTCAGTCTTCACAAAAGTCGTAAAATTAAACAAAAATGTTAGAATGCTAAAAAGATATACGATTGGTACAAAAATGGAATATCAAAGCTAATCTCATATGAACGCAAGGTAAAAAATATAAAGGTACTATACATGCTATATAAAGAGCAGTCGTAAACATGTTCAGCGTTCGTAATATATTTCGTAAAATATTTATTCATCATCTTGATCATTTATGTGAATGTGAATCACTTTCATATTTGTGATAGCGAAAAATCCTACATAAAAAATGTACGAAACTTGAATTTGATATTTCTAATCTCCTAAGAAAAAAACTTTAGATCTTTAATCGACTAAAATCACACTCGATTTAACAAAAATCTTTGAAAATTTCTACTTTTGCTTTGTCAGAGCAGGCAGAAGTTTACCTAACCTGCTTACAGATTCAAATTCAAAAGATGTCAGAACCTGATGAATTAAGTAAGTTTTTTTTACATACAATTTACAATCCCCCAACAAATATTTTCTTAAAATTCAAGGGGTTTTAATAAGTAATATCACATGTTTCTAATCAGAATGCACAAATAATTTTTACGAATTTAATAAAATCTCTGTGCTTATGAAGAATTAATTAAATTGTGATTGATCAGATTGTTCGATTTGTAACAAAAGAACGTTTTCATCCCCACCGCTGGCCTCTCCAATTCTTACTAACATGATTAAGGTTGATAAATTATGTTTGGACTTGAATGCATACACGTGATAATGTTTAAACCCAAATGCTGCTCATTGCTCATCAAAAAATGCACAAAATAATGTACAAAAATAATGACAGAAGAATCGTATTTACTAGTCAGGTCCAGTACAATCAGTACATTTAGCTATGTAGCTTAAATTACCTACCGTAGCTTTATTTACCTACCTCAGGTAGCTTTATTTAGCTATTTCAAGGCAACTTTTCATAATTTTGCTTTTTATTTTAAAAAGACAAAAAGTCGCAAGTAAATGTCTACTAATATTTATGCTACATATTATTTAAAAAGCAATCTAAAGCAAAGATAGTTTTAACATTGCTGCGTTTGAACACTTTTAAGGAAAATATGTACAGTATTTCCATTGTTTGAGTAGCTGTAGACACCTTGTGTGTGATGAGGTGTGGATAAGCATGATTACTTCACATTGTGCTCATGTTAACCAAAACTAGTTTTCTTTATTATTTCACTCAAGAAGTAACTGTCAGGTCACAAATCAACTGTTGTATATAGCCCCAAAACTTTTAGAACTTTGATTGCAATTGCGCAGAAAAAGACACATCTCCAAGAGTGATTTTTACATGAATTGTTTTCAGATGAGTTCAAATTTGAAAATTATCACTGCATCAAAGTGTAATTTTCTGCACTTTCTGGGAAAAATGCTAATTTAAGAAATAAGCTTGATTTAGTAGCTAAATAAAGCTACTTCAGGTAGGTAAATAAAGCTACTTCAGGTAGGTAAATAAAGCTATGTAGGTAATTCAAGCTACGTAGCTTAATCTAGTGATTGTACATGTACCAGACCTGCAAGTGTATTCCAAATTAACAAATGCAGTGTTTGAAACTCACGGTGGAATTTAAGCTAGACATGCAGGGCTGACTGCCAGTGAAAGTTGTCAGCCCTGCAAAAATTCTACTAGCCCAAGAATATAAAAGTTTTATATGAATTTGTTTTAAGCGATAATGTGATTGGGGCACAATCACCATAACTTCCATCCCGAATCTATAGGCAGTCAAATTCTACCCCTTTGCTTGTTACACTTAGCTTCCGATACTATTAGTTGATTTGAGAGATATTTATCAAATATATGAATTTTAATTTATGGCAAATTTTAAGACATCCAGCCGGGCCTTGATACGTGCAAATCTGTTGGTCTGCGGCAAAATTTGCGCGTGTCGGGTGGACAGTTATTTCAAACACTGACAAATGTACCACAGCATTTAGTGTTAATATCTTATTGCAAGCATCTTTCGCACTTTTAGAATATCAATATTCACAACAATTTTTACAAAGATGTAGTACAGTGTAAAAATCACTGTCCCAAGTCAATTTAATTTTTCTCATGATACTAAAGCTTTTCTCTGTTAGGATGGACAATAATTATGATCAAGCAGAGCAAGTAAGTTATTGATTATGCAGCTCTGTTAAGGCTGCATAAAGGGGGCGGGGCCTAATTTATACGGGAAATGTCTACTGTGACATCACAGAAATATAGCAATTCCTCACAACAATAGAAAATGAAATAATTTGCAGTTTTAAGCTGCATAAGAGTGATAAACTACATCAAAACTTACCATTGCATTCATTTTTGTCGCTAGTTAAATCCCACACAGCAAGATATAAACAAGTTATTGATCGCAATGCACTTGTCGACATGACGTCATCATGGTAAAATTTGATGTATTTTATGTGCAGTGAGAGGTAGATCAAGTAATTTAACCACAGTGGAAAATGCATTTTATTATTAAACAGAATATTATTTGCAAATCTTAGGTAGACCATTGATACAAATCTGAAACCTTTGTTTAGTGCCATTATTTAAAAACTAGAGAGAAAATGTATTGAATTAATTCTACCATGTTTTTCTGTACTGGGTGTGTATGTTTCACTCCAAGGTGCCTCATTAAATCGCCTTTTCGCAAGGACATACACCTAATACTGTGGAATCATTTAAATTCGTGGGGGTCAATGTTCGTGGGCAAGCAAAATTTTATTGGTTCGTGGGGATGTAATTCCGTGGGCAGCTTGTTTATTTGGTAGATTTAATTAATCAGTACGTTGACAAAAATATTGTTCGTGGGGATGTAAATTCGTGGGTAAGGGTGACCCACGAAATCCACGAACATTGATCCCCCACGAACAATGATGATTCCACAGTAGATCTTGACCATTTTTTAAATATGCATAACGGAAACATTCCTTAACTTGAAAAGTGCTGCTGCTTTCCTGAAATCGAGAGCATTACTAAATAAATAAATAAAATACATGGTAAAGGTCACACATATTTCGACTAGAGCCAAATAACTTGAAATTTAAACTAATAAAATGTGAATTCTATTTAAAGCAGCAGCACTTTTCATAAACTGCAAGTTATATAGATACAATTTATTACTGATATTTTTAATTATAACTAGGGTATGCCCTTGTGATATTGAAATTTGTTGATGACCTACATACAGTACACATTAAATGCATTTATCATGTGACTATCAAATACTGTGACCAAACCAAAATTCCGTTCAGAGCGGGGTTTACTATGTTATTTCAATTAATATAAAAGTCATGTGATAATATACTAGCTTTACAAAAATAAATTCAGTTTAAAAAGGTATGTATTTATGCACGTTTATATTCCGTTGATTTCTTCGTAGTACGCCTTAACAGTCCTGCGTACATTTTGTGTCATTGTCACCAGAGTTGCTTCAATTTATATCATCTTCTCTTTGACACATTTTTCTACTGACAAAATTACAAGTTGGTATAATTTAAAAAAAAACCTTATAAAAACAATTCAACCAAAGAGAAGTTTTGATATATTTTAAATACAATGTAATTATCACAGGAAATATTTAACTCCGTCAATCATGATGTTTTGTTTACATTAACCAAGTACTGTAAGTCACACATCAAAGAGATTTTGGGTGTTGACAGAGCGAGAATTCAAGAAAAATGTAGGTTTGTAGTAAAAAGCTCAAAATACAGGATAATTTTCATTTACCGTGAATTTTGGTGTCCTAGAATTTTCTTTGTTCTCATGTGTCAATTGTTTTTACCATTGCTTTTGGGCTTGGCCTTTCATTTTGCTGGCTATAAAATGATCAGATTATCAACCCAACTTACCTGATTCTCAGAACATTTGAATCTTTGATGACTACTTCAAGATTTTGAATTGAATTGATTTATATAATTACTGATACACAGCTCAAGCTACATGTAGTAGTGTACAGTGCCAGGTAGTTTATTTTAGCATAAAGTATAATAATTATTTCTTAGCCTGTGGAAAAGGAATGTTATAGTAACAGATTTAAAAATCCAAACACAGAAAAAAATGAACTGGGTCTTTGTACAGTTGTGTGTAAGACAACTACACTGTGTACATGTTTTTAGGTCTTGTGGAGAGAGTATTTCTGAGAATAGGATCCTCTGAGTCTGATGAACAACTAGAGAGTTGCCTCGATAGATTTCTCCCTGCTGTTTTACTCAAACTCAACAGCACAGATGAGGCTGTACGGAAAAAGGTAAAATCTGATACATTACAGAATTGGCCATGTCATTGTGTCAGAGGTTGAGTTATATTTGGTTTTATGAAAATAAAATGAAGAACATGGATCAAGGTCAAGGATACATTGGAATTGTAAAGCTTGAGATTTTTTGAGTGACCCTATAGCAATGTGTAGATATTTCCTTTGCATATTTGGTAAATTTTGAAATATCTGTTGTACACCTGTGCTTCTGGGAAGTCTTTTAATGATGTTGAAGATAAGAAATTTAAATTATTGTCTTAAGGGTAAATGATATGAGGAGCAGTGAGAGCATTGTCTATGTTTCAGGTTATGGAATTATTGGTCCATGTCAATAAGAGATTAAAGAGTCGTCCTAAGGTTCTCCTGCCAGTGGAACAACTGATCAATCAATACACAGATCCACAGGCCACATCTATCATCACAGTGAGTGTATATATATATATATATATATATATAGAAAGCACAAATGAATGAAATGTAATGAAATCATTTTTTATTTATAAAGGGATGGGGCGGAAGTGGGTATCCTGATAAAAGTGAATTTCTTTGTGCTTTCTATATTAATATTTCTTCACTTAGGGCAGTTATATTAGTTTAAGAGTTGTTGTAAAATGTGCTTTATAAATAAAAATTAATTTCATTACAACGTGTATTGGTAACGATCCTCTAATAAAACTAATGTCCAAATAACTGTATCTCACTTCCATTCTCAATGACCGTGTAGTGTAGGACAGC